CAGAAATTAAAAAAAATCCCACTCTCTACAAACTGTTCCCTCTCTTTTTATACTCAAAACTGTCTGTCTTAGTGACTTAATCCAACTGAGCACGGGTTGGGTTAAATATCATACTGGGCTCGATTCGACTTGTCTAATATGTTATAAGCACGGACAAAACGAGCATCTACAACCATTTAATATCCAAATGTTCTCTATATCAAATTGGGTCTAGATTTTGCAGGACATACATTGTATAGGTATGGTGCATTCGATGCATGGGAACTTGTTTTTGAGATTTAAAATGTTTAATGTGCCTATAATGGTTTTATGATTTGTCCTACCTGGTTGTTTTGCCATGTCCATCTGTTTTTGAGCTTTATAGAACCACTCTTCATGTTATTTAATCTTAAAGTTATTGATATTTTCCATGGATTGGATATGCTGAGCGATTAGAAGCTTGTGTATCAAAGTATCTTCCCTTCCAACTTTTAAGAAATTATTTCAGCTTTGACTCAATACTTCATTTAATTGCTCATGTCTTATATAAGTGATTGACTAGAAAATTCTCATATTTCCAGTGCAAAAATGTGATTAGCAAGCTTCAAAGGAGAATAGATAAGGAGGGCCAACAGATTATACCACTTTTAACAGATTTGTGGAAGAGGATTGAAAACTCGGGCTATGTGAGTGGAAGTGGGAATAATCATATGGACTTGCAGAAGATTGATCAGCGTGTTGACAGATTAGAGTACAGTGGAGTTATGGAGCTTGTTTCAGATGTGCAGTTAGTACTAAAAAGTGCTATGCATTTTTATGGGTTTTCACATGAGTTATAATGGCTAATTTTAACCTGGCCTTCAGTATCTTTTCATGGTCTTACACAAATCTTTAAGTGCCTAGAAACTTTTATCATCTTGCAAAATTTTCAAATCTCCTTCCTACCGATTGAACCCATATCTCTTTCTGTAATTCTCCCATTAACGTCCAAATCTTTTATGCTTACTGTGCAAATGTAATTGGTATTTGCAGGTCAGATCTGAAGGGAGGAAAGTACTTGATATGTTTTTTGATTTGTTGAAGATTGCATTTCCGGATACAGATTTCCGAGAAGCTAGAAATGCACTTGCTTTCTCTGGCCTCGTATCTACCTCTGCCTCTAGTCTTTCTGCAAGACATTGCAAGAGGCCGAAATTGATAAACGAGTTGGAATCTGATTCAAACCTCACTCAAAAGACATTGCAACGCGGATCCACTCATGCTGGTGAGGACACAAGGGTTAAAGAGCATATGCCCCCAATGGAATCGAGGCTAGGGAAAGGAATCAGGGAACAATATCAGCATAATGGTGACTCTATTCTAACTCATCCAGGGGAGCTGGTTATTTGCAAGAAGAAGAGGAAAGAGAGGGAAAAGTCTACGGTAAAGCATAGGAGTGGATCAGTCGGCCCTGTTTCACCCCGGAATAATGGTCGCAACATCAGGAGCCCAGGTGCAGGATCAGTCTCTAAGGATGCTAGACCAACCCAACAAACCAACCATATGCAAGGTTTTCTCAACCAGCCTGGTCACCTGTCGAACTGTTCTAGTGGGATCGTTGGTTGGGCCAACCCTGTGAAGAAGATGAGAACAGTCGTAGGTAAAAGGGGCTAAATTACATAACTGACACCGTTTTTTTTTAATTTTCCCTTTCTGACACCCTGCGAAGAAGATGAGAACAGACGTAGGTAGAAGAGTTGGAAAGTGACGATTAACAGAAGGGGGCCCGAAAAGAAATGATTTTTAAGGAATAAAAAGAAAGTTCAACGACTAAAAGAAAACAAGTGAAGTTTTTACCTTCTGAAGCGGCGGCGGAGGGAAGAGGCAAAAAATCTCTAGCCAAAAGTTTCCAACTTGTTAGAGTTGGGTGAAATTGAAGAAGAAACTTCTTCTCCGAGAAAGAAAAAAGAAATAAGCTTTAGGTTTTTCCTTTTATTTTTATTCTATTTTAATTTTTGTCTGTTGTTATTTGGTTTCTTCAAAAGTATGCGCTCCACTTATCTCTCTCCTTCACGGTTTATTTATTTATATTAATTGACGGCAATTACTACATTCCCATAAGATTTTTTTTTCGGTAAACTACTTATTTGATTAGCTATCTATTATTTAAAATTTAATTTATTCATGCGGCTATTATTTATTAATGATAATTTCAAAAATAAATTTATTTATTAATAAGATAATATTTTTTAATCATTAAGATCACTCGATGATTTATACACCGTACATATTTAGGTAAATTAGTTGTTTATTTGCTTATTTATTCTCTTTTTTTTAATTTAATTATTTAAATAATTATAAGATAATATCCGTTTTGAATCTTTCTTAATCATTAACGATATACATTATCAAGATATGTACTAGCTAAACTAATAAAATCACAACCACACAATAAATTATTTTAATTAGATTTAAGGTTTTAATTTGAAATATTTCCCAAAATTATACAAAATTTTATCTATAAGTTAGGTTATGAATTTAATTATATTTTATTAAAGTTATAACTTAATTTATACAAATGTTAAATTAAAAATAAATTTTTTTTTATTTGAAAATAGAAAAATAATTAAGTAATTATTTATATAGTTCTATAAAAAGAAATTGTTTAAAAAAATAAATTTATAATATTTATTTCTAATAAAATATAAATGTTAAAGATTAAAATGTTTTAAAGAAAAATTAAGAATTAAAATAATTATTCAACTGAGAACTAATTTTGAGATAATGTGATTTCTACTTTCCACCATAGAATTCATTATACGGCGGGTGTGGTCTCGTGCAACGGTCAACTCCCCAGTGTCTTGTTCTATGCATTCGAAATGCGGTACTCCTTTGATCTCCACCGTTTATTTCAAACGACAATTATCTTCTTCATCAATATTCTCGAGAGAGACCACCCAATTACGCGCGTTGAGGCCGAAACTCAACCCATCTCACTCATCGAGTACACTCAGTAATACGGCGTCGGCGCTTCATCTCGAGTCGACCGGCATCTATTCCCACGCCCTCAAAATATCGGCCAAAATGGCGCTTTCTCTAAATATGAAAATCTACAAGGAAAAGTGGTAGAGCCTGCAGCACTGGTGGCTGAACCTAATAAAAAGGTGTGTTCAATTATTGAATATCAACTCAAACAAATCTCAGATAATGGATTCCAGATGTAGATTAATAATGCTTTTATTTCTTCATTTTCTCAGTTTCTTGTCTGATTTGTAGCTGATAATGGAACTCTGTCCCCCGGATCTTCTTCTCCCTAATCTAATTGCTGTGCGGTTATTATTAGGTTTAGGACTTTCAGGGTTTACTCAAAGTTCAAAACTCCTCCTGGGTGAGTTATTTACTTTGTATTTGGAAAAACAATCACCAGTTTCCCTACGCTATGCATGAGCTAGCAATTCTTGTATATATACCTATCTTCCAACATTTAGGGTTTAACATTGAGAACGACGACAATATATATGCTTTATTCACAAATCAACTTCTTTTTATTACTTCAAATCAACTGTTTTTACCTCATTCTTTTCCGGTTTAGAATAGTTTGGATCAAACTTTATTTTTACCCACAACTGGAAATGTTACATTATAGTAGATTTAAAATTTATAACATAAAAATTATATATATTATAATAAGTTCTACTGTAATTAAAAATGTTATAGAAAAAATAACATTTCGATTTTATATTAAAATATTATATTATCTAATCTAAAAAGTTAAACTTTAGGTAAGTTTTATAATACAATCAACTTTTATCATTTTTAACCTTATATTAATAAATTGTATTCTTGATTTTTCCTCCTTTTTTTTCTTTTATTATTTTTTTAAAAATAATTTAGATTAATTATAAAAAATATATATTCAAAATTTTTTTAACCTATTGATAACACATACATATTTTACATACACTACTGTTTAAACTAATCTTATTAAAAAATAATAATTTATTTATCGTCAAAATCATTTGATGAATTGATCGTGTTGAAATCATTTTATTAGTATTATTGTTTTGAAGATATGTTGTAACCTGACACGTAGAGTCAGGGGTTAGGTCTTTCCAAATAACTGTGGTTGTTATTTATATTATAACCTCTCACTAAATTTATTTACGAGGGTATCACATCCTGTGCTTTTCACTTCACTTGTAGGAAGGGCAACCGGTCGGGTTTAGGACAAGTTTTATTCGTCTTGTCTCTGAACTCGAAATGAATCTCTGACCCCGATTTGATCTTTGACGGGTTTTTTATCGGAGCGTCCCGTCGGAGATTTTTTTGCTCCGTCCCCAAATCCGACCCGACCCGAAATATTATATTTAAACCCGAACCCAAAAATATTTTGTATATAATTAATATATAAAATATAAAATATTATATATATATATATATAATCGGGACATGTCGGGACGGAGATACCTTACCCCGAACCTAACCCGACTCGAACTTAACCAGATTTCGAATTTTCCGTCAGGTTCGGATTATACTACCATTACTATTCACTTGTAAGCAGTTTAGACCCTTTAATCGCATCCCTCCAATTTAATCCGGGTCCCACCAAAGTACATTCATCAAATCTATATTTTTGTGGGCCACACGTATTCGCCACCTCCTCTCCCTCCCACCTCCCGTTGCAGCGCGTTTTATTCACTCCCTCAATTTCCCTCTCCTCTTCGTTTTAGTAATCAAAAAAGATGTATGGCTTTAAAAGCAAATTGCCATTGACCAAAATACCTCTAAAACATTTCAACTGTGGAATCAACTGTACGTGATCATTAACATCCCCTCCCCCAATATACTAGAATAAAAAATAAACTTTGAACAACTATCATGACGTGTAACAGCGGCAGCTTTTTCCCCTCTCGATGACATTTTACGAAAATAAAGAGAAAATAAAAGGACAAAATTGGAAAAGCAGAAAAACAAGTCGAAACATATGAAGGGCCGAGAAAGCAACAGAAAGTTAAGAAAACCCTGATTATCGAGTTCTATGAGATCTGCAGAAAAAACACCACAGAACTACCAAACCAAAGCCCTTTTGGATCTAAATATTTTTCATTTTCTGGCTCTTCACATCTTCTCATCTATCCTTGTTTGAGTTCCCCTCCATCTCCTACGATTTGAAATATTTTTATTCCATTTTTATTTGGTTTATTTTTACTCGATATCAATTGAGCATGAGGATTCGAAAGAACGCGAAGCTATCATCGTTGGTAAACCCGACAGGTCCGAGGTCCGAGAGTGTGCACGTGTGCGAGCTGAACCAGTCGCCATGGGATGTGGTTCCTTTCGCTCAAGACCCATACCCATCGTATCTTCATTACCAGGTAACAAAACACTCTTTGTCTCCCTTATTTGCTGTTTCGAAAGAAATTGGTTCGTTCCTCATGCAAATCTAGTTGCTCATTCTTCTCCCTTTGCCTCAATTTTATGTTTCTTTGTCTGACATTTTCATCTACATATTCCCTCATTTATCTTTTAGGGGTTTCTAGTTTAGGGTTTCAATAAAACCCTAAATTCTCTCCTTCTCAACGTGTATTTTATTCGGAATTAGGTTAATGGGTGTTTGTCATTTCTGCGTATTATTTTTCTGGTTCGAGTTTTTAGTTGCTTGCTGGCTTCGTTTATTGCTTTCTTTCTTTTTCTAAAAAACCCAGTTCGAACCTGAAGATAGCTTTCATGGAAATGAGAGCTTTGGCGATTCTATTGGTGCTGTCGAGAGGTAACCCGCTTTATATTTCTTCGATCCGATTGGTTTATTCAATTTGCTTTCGTGATATTATATTAGGGTTTTTTTATTCGTCCTCTAAAGATAGTCGAATAATTATCCAAATTTGATGATGGGTGGTGAGTTATTTAAAACACATTCTCTGATCATCCTACGGGTTTTGAAAAGTGTCGGGGTTTGTTACTCGTAAAACGCAGCGTAGCGTCGATGATGGACAGTGAACATAAATCGATTATGAAAGTCGAAGGCATGGTTATCGACGATGACGACGACCAACTCGGGTTCCAGACCCAATGCGAAAATGAAGAGAAGGGATCCAAGCCAGATTGTTCGCTGAAATCTTTCAGCCACGATAATGGCAAGAATCCCAGCAAGAAAGCCGGGAACTGCCGCGGACGATCCCGAGAAGCAAGAAAGGGTCGTTGTTGGCGTCGAACCCATATGAATTCTACTATTACTCGGGGTTTGGGCCGTCGTGGGGGAGGAGAAGAGGCGGCAGAAGCAGCAACAGAGAAATGAGGAAGAAGAATATTATTATCGAGGGTAAAGATGTTGAAAACGACAGCAGCGTTGTCACTACGCAAATCAACAATACGACGCTGTCGTCTTCTTCGCAATTTGATTATGTCGACGATGAAGACGATGAGGAGGAGGACGATGTGAATGTAGATGGTGGCGATAAGAAACGAATGAGGAAGCCTATTAAAGCAAGATCGTTAAAGTCCCTAATGTGAAAGAAGATCAACAAAATGTGTCCAAGATTATTGTACTTTTTCTTTCTTTTATGGTAATTGTTTTAGATTATTAAGTAATTTAATTTTGTTGTGTTTTTTAATATGATGTTGGGTTTTGTAGCGGGTGAGACTAGAATTTGCTCTGTCAACTTGTCAGTGGAGGAGATATTGTATGGTGTGACTCGCTTGGACCAAAGCGAGGGTTTGTTGGTCAATGTGTGGAAAACTGAAGGTGGTTTTTGTCATTTCTTATTTATTTTTTTCAACGGGTTGTTAGTTGTCGACGTGGCGTTCTGGGATCCTTGCGGTTAGATTTTTAAGTCCAAAACGGCGACAGTTTGGAAGTTTTATTATTTTCACCGAGTTCTAATCATACACACTTGTAAATCATGCCAAGGAAAAAGACACCAACGTTAACTTAATAAATTAAAGTTGACCTAAAGCACTACAATCATCATGAAGGAATGGTAAGATTTCATTTAGAAATTCACGAAATATTTGATTATTCACGACTCTTAATCGTTACAATCTTAGACAATCTATCAGGTACTTTATTAATTTCGTGGAAAATATGTCGCAAAGAAACACTCTAATCTATATTAGAAGATAGTAAAAAATCTATATGAATAAAAAGCGTTGTAGACGAAAAACAAAATGCATGGCTCTTGCTAGTATGCAAATTCAACGGTTCACGTGTATCTAGGTCGAAGAATTAAACTTAACCGGCTGAGTTTGGAGTTGGACCGAGTTTATGCACATAATTTTGGACCAAACTGCACATGTTCGAAGCATTACTTCACATCTTAAGGGAGCCCAATAGCAAATACAAAGCTGCTTTCATGATTTAGAAAAGAGACGGGGCGCAACAAATAGGCAATTAGATGGTTGTCGCGTTGAAGTTTAGGCACCGAGTGCTAATATCTTTTTCCATGGATTCACTTTCTTCTTTTAGCATTTAGTTAAAGAAAGGTGAAACAGAAAGTGAAGCCCCAATCTGTATATACATGGGGAACTGATGTTGAATTTTCACACCCCGCTGCTAAATACCTAGAGCAACTTCCTTTTTGATGTCTCTGTTTTTAGTGTCACAGAGCAGCTTAGGGACAATTAACACAGTCTGAGAACAAAGATGGGTCAAGCACAGAATCCAAGTTCAATAAATTCACCATATGAAAGAAAATCAACCTTTATGTGCATACTATCAGTGGATTTTCTTTGACTCCGTGGGTAGCCATTGGGCAGCTTAGACTAAAACCTGGACTCATCTGTTTTGTGTAAACTTCAAACTGCACAACTTTATATGGAAAACTTTTTCTTTCCTCTCTTGAAAGTTACTTGATTATGAAACAAATTGTAATGTAATGCATACAGTTTTCTCTTATTTACAAAAGAACGCAAATCTACAATCCCGGAACCGAAATGTACTCACTGTGTAAATCACCGACCCCGGAAGCAGCCCAGAGTCGTTTATTGTACTCGTCCTGCAACTCTTCGGGTACGAATGGTGTTCTACAGAGCGGACATGTTTTGATCACGATCCATCCAACGGTCTAAACACGCCCGATGGAAAACCTGCCTACAGATCCTCGGCCACCTAATCTCTTCGCCTCCTTCGAACTCGTACAAGCAAACAGCGCAATTCTCCGGCGAATCTCCAACCACAACCAGCTCCTCGAACTTCATAACGGGGAGGATATCCCGGATCAGGAGGGCCGATACGGGCGGATTATCGGGTCTTGTTCGGGTCCGGATATCTTGCAGGGTGACGTCCGTTTCTAGGAAACCCGGGAGTCCGAGGTAGCTGAAAAGAGCGACAATTACATGGCGGATGAAACCCAGAAACCAAAACGTGTGAACGAAGAATTTCGGTAAGAAAATTTCGGTATAATTAACTGGAAATCCCGTGAAGAATTTTTTATAAAGGAAAATATCTAAGTGATTAGAGAGAGAGAGAGAGTTGAGAGGAAAAATAGAAGGATAAAAGAAGGGGAAACTTCTGATTTCAGCTATATGGGTTGGCATAGAAATTAATAGAGTAAACTATGCGAATAATCAATTTTATATTTGGTTAAAAATTAAAGATACATAATTTTTAACGTTATTGATATGTTCGATTTTAGTATTCTTCTGTCATTAACTCTCTTTAATCCTTTAATAAAAATATTACATTGCAATTAAAAAATTATAAAAAAAAAATTCACGTGGGTCTTCTTCTTCAAGAGTATAATAATTGTAGTTCACAAACCCATCGTCCCCAACCTTTTCAAACCCTATTGTAATCCCAATTGAATTCTATCCCCTAACTCCCACCCAAAGAGGTGCCAATCTATATAGAACAGAATCAACAAAAGCTCATCCTATCAACATGGAAAGAAGTAAACCATAGTACAGATGAATTAAGGTTAGTGAAGAAAAAACTACGAGCCAATAACCATAGTGGCAGCTGTGGTGCGGGAGGAGGAGATGGGTACTTAGTGTAGACATTAATTTTTTCATAATAATAATTATAATTATTATTAATATAATATATTATTATTATTATTATTTATTATATATATATATATATATTACAAATTACATCAGAAGCCCAAAAGACCCTCAGGCCCAATTTACAAACCCAAACAAAGAGGCCCGATCAGCCAACTGGCCCATCTAAACCTTAAACCCAATTTAGGGTTTGTATCATCTCTAGCCGCCTCATCATCACAGCCGTTGGATCTGAGAGATCCAACGGTCCACAGGAGGTCCAACACGATGCAGCTAGGGTTTCTAAACCCTAGTTTCTACGTGGCCACATCCCAGCCGCCGCTCCAAAGTTCCAGTAAGTTCCAGCCGCCTTGCCGACGCTTCAGTGCCACGATAACAGCCGCCCACGTCGAGCTCTATGGTGAGTCACCACCATAGCTATGGTGACTCACCAAACTCGACCCTCTATTGTCCGGTCCGACGAGAGCCTCGGTGGTGGCTATAAAAGCCACCACACCTGCAAGAAAGGCAGAAAACAGAGAGCAACGGAGAACAATAGAGAAACAGACGAAGAGAGAACAAAAAGGGAGAGATACGAACAACAACCAACAACCAGACCAAAACAGAAACGAAGAGAAGAAGAGGAACTTACCCTTGAAGCCTCACTCATTGCCGGAAATCCCGAGCGTCACCGGAGTCTCATTTTTCGAAGGTAAAAAAATTAGATCTACAGGAATCTAAGGGTTTTTAGGGAAAACAAAGACCGGAATCGGTCTTAGGGCGTTTAGATCTATATTTTAGGTAAATTTGGGAATCTCCGGCCACCGGAGGCGGTGGCCGGCGGCGGAACTTGCGGCGGATCATGGTTGCCGGCCGGTGGTCAGCTCTCTCTCCGGGGAAGAGTTTAGAGAGAGCAGAGAGAGTTTTCTCTCTCAGAGAAAGAAAGAAAAGAAAGAAATGAGGAAGATGGCACATAAGGGCCGGCCGATTGGGTATTTAAAACCCTCCCCAAACGACGTCGTTTTGGGGAGGGTATTTGTGTAATTTCATAAAGGGTAAACCCCGTCCGCAGTGCTCCAAATTTGCATACCTTTCAATTTAGTCACTAAAAGCAATTTTTGATTCTTTTAATTATGTCATTCAATTTTATTTTATTACATTTTAGTCATTATCAGTTTATATATATATATTTAGGGTAAATAACTGATTTAGTACCTTATAATTTTATTAACATTTATTTTAACCCGATTAATTAAATAAGGCTAAATTACATTTTTAGCACTTAGAATTTTTATTTATTCGAGATAGAGCCTTTAAACTTTGATAAATTTTATTTTAATCACTGATTAATTAATTAAGGGTTAATTACACTATTAGTAATTTTATTTTATGATGATTCGAATTATGTTCATTAATTTAAATAATTTTACATTTATTATTATTTTATTTATTTTAGTCATTGTTTAATTATATTTTAACTTAATTTAATTTTTATTATTTTTTAATATATTTTAAATCATTACTTTAATTATTGTTTTACTATATTATAAATATATATATTATTATTTAATAATGTTTATTTATTTTCAATATCAAAGAAAAGGGCAGTCTTAATACAACTGGATGTTCTATTCTGGTATTTTAAATAACTAAATATTATAAAAATTATAATTTAGTTTTATTACATTTTTAATATTTATTTTTATCAAAGAAAAGAGCTGTCTTAAAGTCACCTAGAAGCCATTTTCTGATATTTTTAAATAAATAAATATCTTATTTAAATTTTATTTTTTAAGAAAATATTTTTAGTTATTTATTTTATTTTTAATATCGAAGAGAGCTGTCTTAAGGTACCTAGAAGCCCTTTTCTGATATTTCTAAATAAGTAAATATCTTATTTATGTATATTAATATATTTTCTTAAAATTATTTGAAATAGTAGAATTATGAATATCTTTGAATTTTTAAATTAATAATAATAGAGACAATTTATAATTAAAAAGTACCAATTTTGGGCGTTGTAGGGGTGCTAATCCTTCCCTAAACGTAACCGACCACGAATCCCTTTTTATTATTAAAAAGAATGAATTTTTGGTTATAAACGCAGATCAGTTCATTTTTTTTTAATTGATGTTTTCTTAAAACTCTTTTAAAAAAAATAATTTTTAGGTATTCGACCTACTGACCCAAAAGGCCGATGGCGACTCCCAAATTATTTTCAAAACCATTTATTCACATCAATTTTCCCACCAAATAAATATTTCGTGCCCGGACGAAAACCGGTTACGACAGCTTGGCGACTCCGCTGGGGATTTGATCAAACTTTAAATTATAAATTGTCTCTATTAATTAAAAATTAAAAATTCATACATTTAATTTTTAATTCTTTCTTTTCAAAAATTTTTATATACACTTATTATTTTCATACTATTTATATATTTTCTTATTAATATTTCATTTTATTTGCAAATATTTTATTTCATTATTTATTTGTTCTGTTAGAGGTTTGAACATTTCTCCTCACACACAACACTTGCATTGCATAACATAA